AAAATAAAACTGCAGCTTACCAAATTTTGTACAGTGCAGCTAAAGCCATGCTGAGAGAAAAATGTATAGCAGTAAATGTTTGCATTAAAAAAGAGGGCGAGATCTCAGAATAATCAAGTAAGTTTCTACCTCAAGAAACTAGAAAAATAAGAGCAAAATAAACACAAAATGAAGGAAGTGATAGAAGAACAGAAATCAGTGAAATTGAAAACAGGAAAATGATAGAGGTCAGTGAAACAAAAAGCTGGTTCTTTTAAGAAACAATAAAATTGGGGGCGCCTGGGTGGCGCAGTCGGTTAAGCGTCCGACTTCAGCCAGGTCACGATCTCGCGGTCCGGGAGTTCGAGCCCCGCGTCGGGCTCTGGGCTGATGGCTCAGAGCCTGGAGCCTGTTTCCGATTCTGTGTCTCCCTCTCTCTCTGCCCTTCCCCCCGTTCATGCTCTGTCTCTCTCTGTCCCAAAAATAAATAAACGTTGAAAAAAAAATTTAAAAAAAAAAGAAACAATAAAACTGATAAACTTCTAGAAATGAAAAGCAAAAAAATTACTAATTTTAAAGCAAAAAATATCACTGTATGTAATATTTCCCTTAAAAGGATAATATGAAAATACTATAAACAACCTATATGCTCAAAATTGAAAACTTAAAAGAAATGGACCAGTTCTTCTAAGACTACAGATTACCAAAACACAACCAAGATGAAATAGTTTTGAGGCCATTAAAGAAATTGAATTTTTAATTTATTTATTTATTTATTTATTTATTTATTTGTTTGTTTGTTTGTTTTTTAACATTTATTTTCAAGAGAGAGAGAGAGAGACAGTGAGGGGGGAGGTGCAGAGAGAGAGGGGGACAGGATCTGAAGCAGGCTCCAGGCTGTCAGCGCAGAGCCTGACACGGGGTTTGAACCTGCCAACAGTGAGATCATGACCTGAGCTGAAGTCAGACACTTAACTGACTGAGCCACCCAAGCACCCCTGAATTTTTAATTTAAAAGTTTCCCCAAATAAGAAATCTCCAAGCCCAGATGGTTTCACTGGAGAATTCTAGCAGATGTTTAAAGAATTCACAGCAATTTAGCACATTCTTTTTCAGAAAATAGAGGAGAAGAAGGGTCACTACCTAACTCATTTTATGAAACTAGTGTTGACCTGACACCAAAAACAATAAACAAACAAACACTGCAGACCAATATCTCTCATGAACTTAGAGATAAAAGTCCTAGGCAAACCATGAGCAAATCTAATCCAACATATATGAAAGGAGTTACTCACCATGACCAAGTGGGATTCGTTTCAGTTTAGGTCAATATTCAGAAAGTAATGTAATCCATCCTCAGATTGGAGAAAAATCATAGATCATATTAACTGATACAGAAAAAAACATTTGACAAAATCCAATACCCATTCATGATAAAAACTCTCAGTGAACTAGGAAAAGGGAAGAACTTCCTCAACTTGATAACTACCATCTATAAAAACCTATAACGAACCTCATACTTAATGATGAAAGATTGAATGCTTTCCTTCCAAGATCAAGAAAATTACTTAAAAAAAACACACACACTACTTGTAACTTGTGTTCAACATACTATTGGAGGATGAAGCCACTCAATATAAGGAAAGAGAAAGGAAGGTAAGGAAGGGAGGGAGGGAGG